AAACATGTGGTTCTGTTACTATGACTGTTTATTCAGATCAATTTAAAACAGTAACAGATGACTTCACAAACAAACATGTAGTTCTGTTACTATGACTGTTTATTCAGATGAATTTAAAACAGTAACAGATGACTTCACAAACAAACATGTGGTTCTGTTACTATGACTGTTTATTCAGTTGAATTTAAAACAGTAACAAATGACTTGTATGTTTATTCTAAAAAGATTGCCTTAATGTTACACATTAATTTATAATGTTTGAACAAATAAACATTTCTAGAAAAATGTTATCCAATTTTCTTACCTTCTGCAACATTTCCAACTTCGGCTACTGCATTTTCCAAGGATTTTATCAAACAAGAAAGAACTTCCACAATGTTTGCCATTTTTAAGATACCTGCAAACATTAAATATTTATTTTAACATTTCCCAAACATCCTGACATCAGACAAAAATTTAACAATTTTGCCAGTAACCTTAAGTAAAATCTCTAACTTCAAATGTTACAATCTTTACAAAGATTGAATTAACAAGATAAGCATATCCACCATTCTAAAAGTAAGTATTAATTAACTTAAAATAATTTTATCTACGAAAAAGTTTGTATGGTACTAAAATGTATTTCTACTGGCAAGTGTTCACATATTTCCTTGACAGAATTGTATGCTTGAAGTACATCATTTATTTAATCACAGTTTTTTTCATTTTGGATCAATAATAATTCTGCTAGATCATCACTATACAATCAGGAATTTTATGTTTACTTTCTAATAAAAACAAGAAGCAAAATTAAGCAATACTTGTATACAGAAAGTACAGTATTACAACAGGCTAATGCTATGAAAGCCAGTGAACATTACATCTTCTGGGCACATATAGAGTATTCTAGGAATGTACAATATTACAACAGGCCAATGCCATGAAAGCCAGTGAACATTACATCTTCAGGGCACATAAAGAGCATACTTTGCAAGTATAACTAATAGCTACAATAAAAAAAAAAAAAGTAATTTACAGAAAAAAAAATCTGTACACACATTCCAAAGGCTCTTAGAAACTGTACACAAAGGCTCTTAGAAACTGTACACAAAGGCTCTTAGAAACT